ATGTGGATATGAGACCAGATCTTTTTATAGAAACTTTGAGGTGGTCAAGTATTAACAAATGGTGAAACATTTGTCGTCGACAGTCGTCAGCTATAATTGATCTCTGGTGATAAGACATGATGGCGGCAAACTGGACAACCCATAGCACAATGGTGGTAGCTGTGTACATAAGTAGGGAAATGGACGGGGGATGGATGGTGGCGGACTGTCCACGGGAAAACCACCTCTCTCTACCCCCCTCCCTGTGGGGACGGAGAGGACACTGGGTGTCGGCGGCTCTCTCTCTCTGTCTGTCTCTCTCTCTCTCTGCCCCCCCCCCCCCCTCTATATATCTATCTATCTATCTATCTATCTATGAACACATACACACATACATACATACATACATACATACATACATACATACATACATACATACATACATATATGTGTGTGTGTGTTACTGTAAGAACGCGTACCAAGTGAATACGCGTGATCACTTAATATTTTAGTGAATACACGTAATCCCCGTTTCACTCGGGGGTTTCACGTAATCACTGAAATTTCTAGTGATTACGCGACATCCCTAAAATTAGACCTATCATTTTACTTGTTTTTACTACTGAGCATTCGGTGAATTCACGTAATAGCCCCGCCACTGTACAGGGATTACGCGTTTTCACTGAAATATTCAGTGATTACGCGTATTAACTAGATTGATCTACGTGTTCTTTCTGTAACATAGATATGTCAGCTGACAAACAAGGAGACAACGTTTGTGTGCCAGTTCCACTTGTTGATCGAGGGAGAGGCAATCCTAGAAATATCATTAGTGTCATAATTGACAGACAAGAAGATAGCCGTAAAAGCTGGTTTGTATTCCAGAAATCAGTTCGATCTGTGTCCTGAGCGTCTTCTGAACACTGACGACATAAACATCGAAAAAAAAGTTTCACTGCGTTCGGCGGTGATTTTTCAATCCTCTCCAGGTGGACAAGGCTTCACAAGATGCAACTGTACTGGTGCCAAAAAGTGTAGTTCGAGGCCATGTAAATGCCGTAAAGCTGGTCTTCAGTGAAACTCACACTGTCATAGCAGCTTCAATTGTTGTAACAAGTGACGACGTCGATGGATTTTAGTCTTAAGTATTTAACTGAAAACTGAAACAACAACAACAACTACAACAACAACAATGGTGTCTGCCATTTAAAAAAATTAAATGCTTTGTTTTTAAATTGAGGAACAGGTGTGTGTATGTGTGTGTGTGTGTATGTGTGTGTGTGTGTATGTGTGTGTGTGTGTGTGTATGGGTGTGTGTTGTGTATGTGTGTGTGTGTGTGTGTTGTGTGTGTGTGTGTGTGTGTGTGTGTGTGTGTGTGTGTGTGTGTGTGTGTGTGAGAGAGAGAGAGAAGGGAGGGAGAGAGAGAGAGAGAGAGAGAGAGAGAGAGAGAGAGAGAGAGAGAGAGAGAGAGAGAGAGAGAGAGAGAGAGAGAGAGAGAGAGAGAGAGGGGATCTTTACCGAACTGACTATTTAAGCAGAAAAATTTTGCATGTGCCTGATCATTTTTTAGAATTTTTAAATGCTTAGTTTTTAGATTCTGGAGCATGTGAGTGTGTGTGTGTGTGTGTGTGTGTGTGTGTGTGTGTGTGTGTGTGTGTGTGTGTGTGTGTGTGTGTGTGTATGTGTGTGTGTGTGTGTGTGTGTGTGTGTGAAAGAGAGAGATTCAAAGATTCAAAGATTCAAAATGATTTATTGATTTGAAAGGCCTTTGGCCCATACATCCACATATTTTAACATATGGTTCGGCAATTACATACGTTGGAGCAGCACATTGGATGTTTAACATAAATTGGACATGCACGCCCACATACACGCATGCACGCACGCACGCACGCACGCACACACGCACACACGCACACACGCACACACGCACGTGACGCACGCACATACACACATACACACTCATACTCACACACATACTTACATACATACGTACATACGTACATACATACATACATACATACATACATACATACATACATACATACATACATACATACATACATACATACATACATACATACATACATACATACATACATACATACATACATACATACATACATACATACATACATACAGACATACATACAGACATACATACAGACATACATACAGACATACATACAGACAGACATACATACATACATACATACATACATACATACATACATACATACATACATACATACATACATACATACATACATACATACAGA